AGAGAGAGAGAGAGAGAGAGAGAGAGAGAGAGAGAGAGAGAGAGAGAGAGAGAGAGAGAGCGAGGGAGAGAGAGAGAGAGAAGGAGAGAGAGAAAATATTTTTAATCCTAATCAAGTCATCACCCGTGGTAGCAGCCAAATGTTGGTCACCCATCCCATAGTAAAAGATCAACTAAGTATGAACCGGATACTATAACACAGATGAATTTGCCAATTGAGAAACTAGGACCAGAGGAAAGCACATGCACATAGAGAAGAGATCAACTAGGTAAGATCTGGAACATCACAACACACATGGACATGACAATGAGAAGTTAGACTAGTGGAAAGCACATGCAGATAGGGAAGAGATCATCTAAGTAAGAGTCGGTACATCACAACACGCATGGACATGATAATAAAAAGCTCGAACAAACGGAAAACCCATACACATAGAGACCAGATCAATGAAGTAAGATCTGGAACATGACAACACACATGGACATCACAACACACATGGACATCACAACGAGAAGCTAGACTAATGGAAAGCACATGCACATAGAGAAGAGAACAACTAAGTAAGATCCGGAATATCACAACACACATGGACATGATAATGAGAGGCTAGAACTAAAGGAAAGCACATGCACATAGAGGAAAGTTTATCTAAGCGAGATCCGGAACACTACATCAAGCATGAAAATGACCATGAGAAACTAGAACTAATGGAAAACACATGTACATAAAGAAGAGATAAACTAAGTACGATCCGGAATATCACAACACACATGGACATGACAATGACAAGCTAGAACTAAAGGAAAGCATATGCACATAGAATAGAGATCAACTAAGTAAGATCCGGAATATTTCCTATTATCAAGAGTCTAAGTAGGGAGGATCACCGAGGTTGAACCAGAAACCATCCATGAAAGAAGCGGTGCACTCCCTACTAGTGTGTGAGTGAAAGGCAAGAACTTGAGCAGGCTAGATTACCAAGATTGCATCAAAGATCATTCATGGAAGTAGCGGTGCACTCCCTACCAGTGTGTGAGTGAAAGACATGAACTTGAGTAGGCTAGATCACCAAGATTGCGGCAAAGATCATCCATGGAAGTTGTCATGCACTACCTACTAGTGTGTGAGTGAAAAGCATGAACTTGAGTAGGCCAGATCACCAAGATTGCAGCAAAAATCATCCATGAAAGTTGCGGTGCACTACCTACTAGTGTGTGAGTCAAAAACATGAACTTGAGTAGGTTAGATCACCAAGATTGCAGCAAAGGTCATCCATGAAAGTTGCGGTGCACTACCTACTGGTGTATGAATGAACAGCATGAGTGTGAGTAGCTCAAATCACCAAGAATGCAACAAAGATCATCCATGGAAATTGACGTGCACTACCTACTAGTGTATGAGTGAACAACATGAATGTGAGTAGCTCAAATCACCAAGAGTGTAACAAAGATCATCCATGGAAGTTGCGGTGCACTACCTACAAGTGTGTGAGTGAACATCATGAGTGTGAGTAGCTCAAATCACCAAGAATGCAACAAAGATCATCCATAAAAGTAGCGGCGCACTACCTACTACTGTATGAGTGAACAACATGAGTGTGAGTAGTTCAAATCACCAAGAATGCAACAAAGATCATCCATGAAAGTAGCGGTGCACTAGCTACTAGTGTATGAGTGAACAGCATGAGTGTGATTAGTTCAAATCACCAAGAATGTAGCAAAGATCATCCATGGAAGTTGCGGTGCACTACCTACTAGTGTATGAGTGAACAACATGAGTGTGAGTAGCTCAAATCACCAGAATGCAGCAAAGATCTTCGATGAAAGTAGCGGTGCCCTACCTACTAGTGTCTGAGTGAACAACATGAGTGTGAGTAGCTCAAATCACCAAGAATGCAGCAAAGATCATCCATGAAAGCAGCGGTGCACTATTTATTAGTGTATGAGTAAACAGAATGAGTGTGAGTAACCCAAATCAGCAAGAATGCATCAAAGATCATCCATGAAAGTTGCGGTGCACCACCTACTAGTGTATGAGTGAACAAAATGAGTGTGAGTAACCCAGATCACCAAGAATGCATCAAGGATCATCCATGAAAGCAGCGGTGCACTACCTACTAGTGCATGAGTGAAAAACGCAAGTTTGAAGAGCGCAAATCACAAAGATTGTATCAAGAAGCATCCACGAGTGTAGCGCTATACTACATACAAGTGTGAGAGTGACAAACACAAGTTTGGAGAGCCCAAATCACGAAGATTGTATCAAGAAGCATCCACGAGTGTAGCGTTATACTACCTACTAGTGTGAGAGTGAAAAACACAAGTTTGGAGAGCCCAAATCACCAAGATTGTATCATGGATCATTCATGGATGAAGCGCTGTACTACCTACTAGTGTGCGAGTGAAAAACACAAGTTTGAAGAGCTCAAATCACCAAGATTGTATCAAGAAGCATCCATGAGTGTAGCCGTGCACTACCTACTAGTGCATGAGTGAAAAACACAAGTTTGAAGAGCCCAAATCACCAAGATTGTAT